GGCGAAACATTTCATCAAAAAAGTTTCTAACGGGTTGCCCATGTTTTTAATTTTCAACATATTTTTTTGGGGAGAAATAATAAATGTGAAAGAAAATTAGTTTACGTAAACTCACCTAAAATGGGTAAAAAATTCCCTTTTTGAAAAAAAGCATTCATTTCCCCCATCTGAGACAGCTTTCAGTGCCCCATTTAAAATTGAAAATCTAAAGGACTTCCCTTTTATAAATTTACCATTCCCAAAGGGAAATCAAACACCCCAATGGAAAAAAGTCAGTTTAGTCTTTTCGGGGTTATTTTTAAGTAGTTTACCCCAATATGTTACTATGTACGATAAAAAAAACTTATGTGTACTTGCCCCTAAAAAAAACCCCAGAGGGCAAGATTCAAATTTAACAAAGCAAGGGGGTTTTGGGTGGAATGGGGGATAAAGCCTATCGGCTACACGAAGGCCATTTTAAACCCCGCGTGGGGTTAAACCCTTTCACCACCAGTTTTTAAAAAACCCCCTTAAATTTCCCTTTTATGGCGATTAAAGTGTATATACACTGAGAGGACCCAACTTTTTCATTACCCCGTCGGAATATTTTTAAAAATCTTTAAAAAGGGGTTAAAGAAAAACCCCCAGGTATATACCTTCAGTGTAAAATTTACCAAAAAGGGATACGCCTCGGGTTTATATATCGGGGGAGAAAAACCCAAAGACTTTTCAGGTAAATGCCACTTTTACAAATAAAAAACGAAAGACAGTACAAAACAGTAGCGTCAATGAGTTTTGAGGGGGGGCGGAGGGGAACACCACCAGGGCCCGCCATGTTTACCCCAGGGACGCCATAACACCACCAAATCTCACCTATGTCACCTCCCCCACGGGCACGCAACACCAGTCAACCACTCCCCACGGAAATAATCAAACCCGGTTTACAGGTGGGCTGATCGGTGAAAGGCGGGAAATTTTGTTTCAAAAAAAACTGGGGAACCTTTTGATAATTTAATAAACGAGGTTTCTACATGGGATTGTGCCCAACCCATTTCATTTAGTTTTTGTCCCATATTAAAAATGCCGTTTGGGTTTAAATTTTGGGGCCCATCGTGTGATTAGAGTGGTATCTCCTTCAAGAAAAAACGAGTCACCACAGAAAGCGAAGAGCCGTAGACGATAGGAAAGAACGCATTCAAGAAATCAAGCATCTTGTATAAATTCTTAGTCATTGCGTGTGCACAGAGAGCTTCAGTGAGCATATGCGCATATATATATATATATATATATATATATATATATATATATATATATATATATATATATAATATATATATATATATATATATATATATATATATATATATATATATGTCGTGCCGAATAGGCAGAACTTGCTATCTTGGCTTAAATAGCAAGGCTCATCTTGCCATATAGGACAAGTGAAAATTTGTGTATGCAATAATTTCGCCAAAATCATTCAGAACCTTACGAGAAAAATATATTTCGCTGTGTTTGTTTAGTATTAAATTACTGTAAATAAATCTAAAATATATTTAGTTGGGTTAGGCTAAAATAAATTGTTCTTGTTATAATAAGGTTAGGTAAGTTTTCTAAGGTTCTTTTGGTGAAAAATTAAAAATTTTTACATTAACATTAATGAAAAAAATATATCTTTAAACGTATAAAAGAAAATTTCAGAAAGGACTTAATTTTAAATGAGTTCTTGCTAATTGACCAGTTTTACATATTCGGCACGACATATATATATATAATTTAAACTTTACTTTTGTCCCAATAAAACAATGTTTGGGATTAAAATATTCTTGACTCGTGGTGAACAAGTGACTCTCGTGTGTTGATAGACATAGAGCCCAATTAACCAACATTAATAATAATAATAATAATAATAATGTTTATTTCTACAAGTACATGTACAAAGTATACAGCCTAGCTGACAACTTACTATACAGAAAGAACCTTGTTATGCAGAACATTTCTGGTAAATGCTCTGCTAGAATAGGGACCGCGGGTGTCTTAGGGAAACACATACTAATGTTTCCAGCCGTACAGGGTATCGAGCCACGGACTTCGGTGAGTGAGCTGAGTGCGCCACCAATCGAGCTATCCTATCCTAAAAAAAACTTCAAGGTTATAATTATAACCATTAATTTTTAAAGGGGTGGACCGGTAAGCCAGCGGAAGGCCTCGGTCAGATGACCAAAAGCTCCAGCTGTGGGTCATCATATAGCTAAGACCCGCGTCAGGAAACACTTGTCCTGTTTCCTGGCAAACCTTACCTAACCGAGCTACGGAACTATTACCCCAGAAGGGTTAATAACCCAAGCAAGCCAAAGTTAAGCAGTATGGCTTACTTTATCTTCCCCCACGACGCTACCCACCCACAAGTGGGTTGGTTCACTAGGCTGAACGTGTATCAACTTACAATACGAGGGATCATTAACATCTCTCGGATATATATAAAGCACGACCAAGGCTGCGTATGTGTTCTACATATATATGCGTGTGTACTTACCTATTCGTGGTTGTTGTCGTCGATTCACAGCTCCTGGCCCCGCCTCTTCGCTGATCGCTACTAGATTCACTCTCTCCCGGTTGTAGGAGCTTTACGTATCTCTTCTTAAAGCTATGTATACATCCTGCCTCCACTACATCACTCCCCAGATTTTTCCATTGTGTATGTGTACTCACCTAATTGTGGTTCCAGAGGTCGATTCACAGCTCCTGGCCCCGTGTGAGTGTGTGCATCATAATTCACTAAAACTTTCGCCTTCAAAAATATTAAAGCTGAATAAAGTTATTACTTCAACAATTAGCTGATCAATTATTCCCTCACGTGACTTCAAATTATCAGTCACACTGTGGGGAGAGAGAGAGAGAGAGAGAGAGAGAGAGAGAGAGAGAGAGAGAGTTACAGAGAGAAAACCTAATCAAAAGGATCACACACACGTGTGTGGAGGGATATGTTGTGTATCTTTATACGTATATACTTCTAAACTGTTGTATTCTGAGCACCTCTGCAAAAGCAGTGATAATGTGTGAGTGTGGTGAGAGTGTTGAATGATGATGAAAGTATTTTCTTTTTGGGGATTTTCTTTCTTTTTGGGTCACCCTGCCTCGGAGGGAGACGACCGACTTGTTAAATATATATTATATATATATATATATATATATATATATATATATATATATATATATATATATATATATATATATATATATATATGGGAGCAAGGGGCTAGTAACCTCTTCTCCTGTATATATTACTAAATGTAAAAGGAGAAACTTTCGTTTTTCCTTTTGGGCCACCCCGCCTCGGTGGGATACGGCCGGTGTGTTGAAAGAAAGATATATATATATATATATTATATATATATATATATATATATATATATATATATATATATATATATATATATATATATATATATATATATATATTTCAACAAGTCGGCCGTCTCCCACCGAGGCAGGGTGACCCAAAAAGAAAGAAAATCCCCAAAAAGAAAATACTTTCATCATCATTCAACACTTTCACCTCACTCACATATATATATATATAATATATATATATATATATATATATATATATATATATATATATATTATATATATATATATATATATATATATATATATATAATAAACAGCCCTGAGAAGAAATCTCTTGATTTTCCTAGAAAAATTTTTTATGTCAATTTCGAGGACGAGGGTTTCCAGGCATTATCTTAAGAGGCTTCCTAAGATGCAATATTTTAGTAGCCATAGAGTCAAGAATGTCTTCGAGGTTACTTAAGATGTCACATTATAGAAGCCACGTCCTTGGTGTGTGCGTGTGTCGGCGTCACTCACATCATCGCACCGTGACCAGCCAGGCTGACCACCTGCTGTGTCATACCAGCCATCCTATCTGATGGTGCCAGTGGTGGCAGTATTGATGACAAGTGGTGATAGTACTGATGATAGTGGTGGCAGTATTGATGATAGTGGTGGACCGAGTTTAACGTTGTTTATGCTATACATTATCGATAAATATGAAATAAAGACACGTGTGCAATGGCCAGATGTTTCGCTGAAGGAACGTTACACACACACACACACACACACACACACACACACACACACACACACACACACACACATATATATATATAATATATATATTATATATTTATATATATATATATTATATATATATATATATTTTATATAATATATTATATATATATATATATATATATATACCAGCTGTCTCCCACCGAGACAGGGTGACCTAAAAAGAAAAACGAAAGTTTTTCTTTTCACACGTGGTAATTTATGCAGGAGAAGGGGTTACTAGCCCCTTGCAACCGGCAATTTTGTTGCCTCTTACGACACGCATGACTTACGGAGGAAGAATTCTTCTCCACTTCCCCATACATACACACACTTGTAGTCAGTATATAATACTACTGATATACAAGTGTCAAGCTCATCACACAGGAGTAGAAGTGTTATACACAGATGGATTACTAGCAGGGAATACCACTGCTATCACACACAGATGTGTTACTAGCATGACCAACTACTGATATCACACACAGATGTGTTACTAGCAAGACCAACAACTATTGATATCACCCACAGATGTGTTACTAGCAAGACCAACAACTACAGCTCAACAGGGCTAAATCACCTTTACCACATCAAGAGCCAATAACCTCGAGATCACCATCCTCAACCTGATAATCAAAGGCAGTAGCACGAGATCAATCTCTTCAGCTATATAAATGAAAGCTTATAGTTTACAAATATGTTGTAAGTTTAATATCGATCTGGCAAGGCATTCTCCAGATATTGCAGCATAAATGCCTAAATACGTCTTTTTTTTAGCACAAATATAGAGATGCGGAAGCAACGAAGTGTGACACGAGTCTTATAACGTTCTTCAATATACATGTTCGATTTTTGTAATGATTTTACTCTTTAATTTTTTTTTTTTTTTTGGTTATTATTTATTATTATTACATTTCAATTTTGCAGGTGTGTGTATTACTGTGTCTTCTGGCTGAGGTCATCACCATGGGAGCCGCTGACTCGAGTCCAGGGGTGAGTGACTGACCTAATGCTCCTGGTCATTCAGTGATTACCATCTCAGAGTGGCATTCCACTTGTCCTAAAGTTCACTAAGGAAGAGCAGTGTTAGCTCCTGGTGGTTTGTTTACAACTCCATGATTCACAACTAATCAGGAAGGTCGTTATTTTGGAGGTGAAAGTGATTCTACGTTCTGATTCCAGGGTCACGTTCCCTGACTCCAGGGCCGTGTTCCCTGACTCCAGGGCCACTTTCCGACTCCAAGGCCACGTTCCCTGACTCCACGGCTGTGTTCCCTGACTCCAAAGCCACGCCCCATGGCTCCAGGGTCGCGTTCTCTGACTCCAGGGCCACGTTCCATGACTCCAGGGCTGTGTTCCCTGACTCCAAAGCCACGCCCCATGGCTCCAGAGTCGCGTTCTCTGACTCCAGGGCCACGTTCCATGACTCCAGGGCTGTGTTCCCTGACTCCAGGGCCACGTTCCATAACTCCAGGGCCACGCTCCAGCACCTGCATGGAGAATGGGTAACCGCACTTGCTTGGCGGAGAGGTGACTAGCTGGTTAATGGAGTTTAAAGCCTATCGACACGAAAGTCATTAAGGCTGTCTGTCACCTGTTCACCACCCGTTAAGAATGCTTTGGTCACTAAAATATTTATTACATTTCACTTCCAGTGTATATATACACACACATACACCTCTTGGTGTATATGTCCTCGCGATTATACATTTATTCCAGTAGTTTGTGAGCGCTGGGTGTTGATATGTGGTTGCTTAGGTTTATGTGTAAATAATTTGGTTTGGAGAATGTAGTACGCTAAAAAACAAAAAAAAAACATACCAAGGGCGGGGTTAGAACCCGCGATCAGTCTCAAAACTCCAGATCGTCGCGTTAGCCACTGGGCCAGCTAGCCACAATAAGACTTATCCAACTAGCTGGCCCAGTGGCTAACACGATGGTCTGGAGTTATGAGGCTCTCTGATCGAGGGTTCTAACCCCGTCCGTGGTATGATTTGTTTGCAATTGTGTCATTACGATTTCGTGAGTCAATGCAGTACGCTGTTATTTGACTCTATGAGAGTGCTCTTCTAGTTTTAAATTTTGTTTATCTTATCTCAGTTATAAAATCTCACATTTATCTTCCTTATATACTCTCTTGAGAAACCATGTCTCACTAGATGGCGCTAACCAATATTTTCTGGCTTATAAAGAACAAAAAGCCACAATACCGTGACTGGAACAATACACAAATAACCCGCACATAGGAGAGAGAAGCTTAAACGACGACGCTTCGGTCCGACTTGGACCATTTACAAAGTCACACACCGACTTTGTAAATGGTCCAAGTCTGACCGAAACGTTGTCGTTAGCTTCCCTCTCCCACGTGCGGGTTGTGTATTTTCTGGCGTATAATCCGTTTACTTCTTTAGGTTTGAACCTATGAACTCCTATAAGGGAGACGATAAAGGACTCCAAAGGAAATACGTCACTTTCACTTTTTTGGGTTATCCTAGATTCTCTACACATATGCTGCTGTGTATGATAATCTATGTAACTGTATTTGTGTATACCTGAATAAACATACTATATGTACCCGACAATACTGCCGGTCGGGCAGAATATTTTCTCAAAAACCCTCATTCCACTGCAGGTTACTCCTCCTGGGATTCTCTTCTCTTATGGTGTACACGACGAGAAGACCGGCAATAGTTTCGCCCACCAGCAAACGAAGGACGACAGCTCTACCGCGGGTGAGTACCGGGTGGCCCTCCCTGATGGTCGAACTCAGATCGTCTCCTACACGGCCGACAAGAACGGCTACAAGGCTGTAGTGACGTACGAGGGAGTGGCAGTGCATCCTGACGACCCTCCGAAGGATTCGAAGAACACGGAGGCAGCATCTCAACGGACGACTCATCCGTCCGGGCATGCTACTCATCCGCCCGGGCATGCTACTCATCCGCCAGGGCATGCTACTCATCCGTCCGGGCATGCTGCTCACCCGTCCGGGCATGTTACCGACCCGTCCAACCACCTGGACTCGGTTCTCGAGCACCCGCTTCTGGTTAAACCAAGGCCGCAACCAGTCCACCCTCGGCCGAAAGCTATCAACTTCAATTCTCCTTTCCACACCCTGCAAGACAAGGTGCTTCACCAACCACTTCAATCCCCTGTCCACTCATTCCCCACCGTCCACGGACAAGCCCAGCACCCTGGCAAAGCCCCTATCCACAATGCACCAGTCCACCATCCCTCCCTGGTCAATTTCAAGCCTGTCCTCCCGCACCACGACCTACCCACCATCAGCGTGGACTTCGCCCAACACCCTCAGACGGACCTCTCCCTCTTCGTACCGGCAAAGGACCTACTCGAAGTAGGATTCCACGACCTCGGCTCTAATGACCTTCCACTGAGTTCTGATTCTTTCTCCCGCCAGCCTAGTTCTAACGGCCGCCAAGACAACACCAACTCCCATCATTTTCTTTCAGTACCCCATCAAGGCTCCCTGATATCCCATTTTGGTATTCTAATGCCCCATCATAATACTCTGGCACCCTATCATGGTAGTCTGGCACCCCATCATGGTATTCTGATGTCCCATTTTGGTACTCTGGCACCTCATCACGGTACACTAGTACCCCATCATGGTACTCTGGCAACCCAACATGATACTCTGACACCTCATCATGCTAGTCTGGCACCCCATCTTGGTACTCTGGCACCCCATCTTGGTACTCTGAAACCCCATCATGGTACTCTGGAGCCCCATCATGGTACTCTGGCAACCCAACATGATACTCTGACACCTCATCATGCTAGTCTGGCACCCCATCTTGGTACTCTGGCACCCCATCTTGGTACTCTGAAACCCCATCATGGTACTCTGGAGCCCCATCATGGTACTTTGGCAACCCAGCATGATACTCTGACACATCATGGTAAACTGACACCTCATCATGGTACTCTGGCACCCCATCATAGTACTCTGGCACCTCATCATAGTACTCTGGTACCCCATCGTGGTACTCTAGTATCCCATCATGGTACTGCCGTCCCCTTCCATCGTAATTCTCCACAGCTCCAACATGAGAATTTGGCTCCTGTTCATGGTAGTCAAATACACCATGAAGACAAAACGTCTCACCATAACTCTTTAAGTCCCCACCTTGGTTCTCTAGCGCCCATCCATGGCATGTTTGGACACCAGCATGGTTCTCTATCACAGCTCCATGGCGCTCTAAGACACCACCATGGAACTCCCATACCCCAGGATGCTCTAACTCTTTTTCACGATGATTTAATACCCCATCATGGTAGCACTCTCTCACCCATCCATGGTACTCTGAAATCCCATCATGGCACTCTAGCTCCCATTCATGGTAATCCAACTTCTCACCATGGAAGCCAGACGCCTCATCACAATACTCTTGCAAACCAGCATGGTAGTCCAATAAACCATCATGGTATCCTGACACCCCACCATGACACCTTAAGAACCCACCACCATGGATTTTTAAGTCCTCACCATGGCTCTCTAGCTCCCGTTCATGGGAGTAAGATAAACCACCATGATTCCCTAGGCCCCATTCATGGTACCTCAAAATCCCATCATGGAATTCTGAATTCCCTTCGAGGTATTCCAATACACCATCATGGCTCTCCTATACCACATCGTGGCACTCCTACACCCCTTCATAGTGCTTTGTCACCCACTCATGGCACCAGTTCACCCCATCATAGCACTCCTACATCCCTTCATGGTACCATTTCACCCCATCATGGCACTCCTACACCGATTCATCAGACTTCCCACCATGATCCAGTGTTTCATAGCAGTGTAGCACCTCATCATGGGACCCTGATACCGCATCATGGGACCCCAATATCCCATCATGGGACCCCGATACCTCATCATGGGACTCCCATACCCCATCATGAGACCTTGATACCACATCATGGGACCCCCATACCTCATCATGGGACCCCGATACCTCATCAAAGCAGCATAACGCCTCTTCACGAGACTCCCATTTCTTTGCATCACGCTATTCCATCGCACCATGACAGAAGGGTCCCCATTTCCCATCACACAAGCCCCTTTCCTATTATTTCTGACCAACCAGACCAGGGGCCATTCCTCCCTAGCCTCGGCCCACCTATTCTATCCTCAACCCCTATCCCCTTACAATCAACAATTCCGGCCCCATTCCACGCCTCAACAAACGTCCCCTTTCACGAACTTTCAACTCCTGCCTTCCATCCCACGAAGCAGCGTCTATTCCATTTCAGCCCTGCCTCAAATCCAACCTCATCCCCCTTTCATCCCGGCCCTACCCCCCTCCACACATCCCGGCTGAAGGTTCAGACGTCTCTCCGGCCGTTTCTTCCAGGAGCACCTACGTTAGACAGAGAACAATACCTCAAACATAAAGGAATAGTACGCAGGTCCTCCCTCAACACAGAGGAAAAAGAAACAGAAAACGGAAACAAAGACGACAACACAGAAAATGGGTACAATAAAACAAGCACAAACTAGCTGCGTAGCGCCTGCAATAACTATATTTATATTAATTACACATAAATACAAAATATATGCTCGTTTTCTGTGCGTTCTTTATGTAACCTTATACTCTGGTATACATTGTATTTGTATATCATTTATGTATAAATTCGCTATCCCCTACTTATCTATTTACTATAATTTCAATTATCGCTATTGTTACCAAAACCAATAACAGAGTATATACACTAGGTATATACAACCGGGCCGGGTCTAGAGAGAGAGGCCTGAGCTTGCTACCATCTGCAGCTCATAAGACTGCCATCCCCACGAGCCCCTTTGAGGCGGGGTAGATGGCAGACCAGAGGCCTAGCTTCTCCCTACGAGCCCCGTGAGGGCGGGGAATGTGGCTAGGCCTGGGGACACTTGGTCCCAAAGATGAGGAGGTACTTGTACCTCCTCCCATGGGAGACTTAAGTCTCGAGACACTCCCCAGATAGGGAGCCAAGGCCGGGTCACCACTACTTGGAAAAGACCCGGGCCGGGAGAATACCGGCGAAGAAAAAAAAAAACCGGGCCGGGAGAATACCGGCCATCGACACCATGCCTAACCCTTCTAGGGTAGGGTAGGTGCCTGAGTCCGAGCTTACAGCTCACAAGACTGTCATTCCCATTAGTTCCCTTGGGGCGGGGATAGCAGACCAGAGACGCCTAGCTTGTGGCTAGGCCTGGGGACAGTTGGTCCCAAAGATGAGGAGGTACCTGTGCCTCCTCCCATGGGAGACTTAGGTCTCAGACACTCCCTAAAGAGGGAGCCAAGTCCGGGCCACCACTTGGAAAAGGCCCGGGCCGGGAGAATACCGGCGAATCTTTAATAATAATAGAATACCGGCGAATAAAAAAAAACCAGGTATCCTTCGGTTGGGTGGTTAGTAAGATTATTTAGGTACAAGTACATATAAGTACAATTATCATACACAGTCTAACACGCAATAAGATCACAATAAACAGGTGATATCACAATATGCAAAACAACCAACGTGAAGAATATTTTTCTAGTGGTTGTTGTGCATAGATTAACATGTGTAAATTACCTAGGATTACCCACGGTAATCCTAGGTAATTCAAAATTCACAATTGTCCTCAAAGATTTGTTAAGTTATGCCATGAATTAAGGAAAGATCCTGGAGTTCACCTTACGAAAGCAGACAAAGCAAATACGATAGTAATTATGGACAAGGTAGATTATAGGGGGGAAATAAACATGATGTTAGGAGACAGGGAAACTCACGCGCCTCTTAAAGGACTTATCTAGGGAGTATTCCCCACTCACTTCCAGGGTTCCTCTACAGTTTTTACTCTGGTGTTAAGTCCTGTTATGTACGTAAGTATAAGGTGACTGCGTGAGGTTAGGTTAGGTAAGATTTGTCAAGAAACATAAGTATTTCCAGACACGGGTCTTAGTCATATGACTCGTCACTGGACAAAAATGTCATATGACCGAGGCCTTCCGCTGACTTACCCCTTTCACCCCTTTAAAAAATGATTGTACAGATTAGTTTCTGCACGAGGGCGCAGACGCCTTAACGCTAAATAACTATCAGATTCTCTTATTTATTCCAGCAAATTCCCATACTCTGCCTCCAGTTACAGAGCAAAATCCCTAACTTGTTCACAGCTGCTTAGTCCTAATCCAATACAGAATACCTATCACTTACATAAATTTAGCTTCGCGGGGTCAGACTGTAAGCATGTGTTAACATCTTCGACTCTCAACCTGACCAAACAACCAAACTCCCCACATATCTTTGGATGATTTCTACCCATCCCGTTTCGTCACTACTGGCTTCTTCAGTCCTAGTAAATGTACTTAAATGTAAGTGTCTTTTTCCACATCTTATTGATGAACAAGACACATGTGCAACACTCATGTATCATTATTGATGAACAAGACACATGTGCAACACTCATGTATCATTGTTGATGAACAAGACACATGTGCAACATTCATGTATCATTGTTGATGAACAAGACACATGTACAACACTCGGGTATCTTTATTGATGAACAAGACACATGTGCAACACTCATGTATCATTATTGATGAACAAGACACATGTGCAACATTCATGTATCATTGTTGATGAACAAGACACATGTACAACACTCGGGTATCTTTATTGATGAACAAGACACATGTGCAACACTCATGTATCATTATTGATGAACAAGACACATGTGCAACACTCATGTATCATTGTTGATGAACAAGACACATGTACAACACTCGGGTATCTTTATTGATGAACAAGACACATGTGCAACACTCATGTATCATTATTGATGAACAAGACACATGTGCAACACTCATGTATCATTGTTGATGAACAAGACACATGTGCAACACTCATGTATCATTGTTGATGAACAAGACACATGTGCAACACTCATGTATCATTATTGATGAACAAGACACATGTGCAACACTCATGTATCATTGTTGATGAACAAGACACATGTACAACACTCGGGTATCTTTATTGATGAACAAGACACATGTGCAACACTCATGTATCATTATTGATGAACAAGACACATGTGCAACACTCATGTATCATTGTTGATGAACAAGACACATGTGCAACACTCATGTATCATTGTTGATGAACAAGACACATGTGCAACACTCATGTATCATTATTGATGAACAAGACACATGTGCAACACTCATGTATCATTATTGATGAACAAGACACATGTGCAACACTCATGTATCATTATTGATGAACAAGACACATGTGCAACACTCATGTATCATTATTGATGAACAAGACACATGTGCAACACTCATGTATCATTATTGATGAACAAGACACATGTGCAACACTCATGTATCATTATTGATGAACAAGACACATGTGCAACACTCATGTATCATTATTGATGAACAAGACACATGTGCAACACTCATGTATCATTGTTGATGAACAAGACACATGTGCAACACTCATGTATCATTGTTGATGAACAAGACACATGTGCAACACTCATGTATCATTGTTGATGAACAAGACACATGTGCAACACTCATGTATCATTATTGATGAACAAGACACATGTGCAACACTCATGTATCATTATTGATGAACAAGACACATATGCAGCACTCATGTATCTTTATTGATAAATTAGACACATGTACAACACTCGGGTATCTTTACTGTCTTATTCATCATTATACTGAATTCAAAATGAGTCGTAATGAACGACTTAATGTATAAACACGTAACAATGAAAAAAATATGTACCAAGCCCAACGCCTGGTATGTAGCAAGCACTGGGCTTGGTACATGCCAGGACCATGGTTCGAGTCCCCCCGCTCAGTCTTCTGTTTATTCATTATACTGAGTTTCCTACTGCACGCATTCCATATCAAGTGAATAATGGGGCTGGAGATACATCACAACGGGTCAAACAGCTCCAGGAAAATGAAAGGTAATCAGGTTTGGTCCGAAGAAGATAGCTGCAATTCCTGGGATCAAGAACCCTTCACTAGCATCACGTCACCCTCGTTGAAAGTGATGTTGAGTGTTTATATATAGATGGATAACATTTGGGTGTCCCTCTCAGTCACTGCTCCTCCCTCAAAGGTCACTGCTGTCACTGCGGGAAAGTTTTGCTGTCCCTTGATTCCCTCCTCCATGTTGATGTCCTCCTAAATGTTCATGTCCCCCTACATGTTGATGTTCCCCTGCATGTTGATGTCCTCCTAAATGTTGATGTCTCCTTACATGTTGATGTTCCCTCCTGTTGAGCTTCCTCAATTACATGATCAGATGACGAACTAGACGTATGAACAGTATCTGGGTATCTTGTAGATGTTTCGCCATCCCTTTCGCCATCCAGTGACTTGATCGATACAATACATAAACATAATATAAATATATATTTCTATTGTATTCTTGTATTGCATTGATAAAGCCACTGGATTAAACGTCTACAAGATACCCAGATGTTACGCATGTGTCTAATTCAGCATCTTGTCAGTATTAAATATCATTGATAATAATCACTGCTTAAATTACACGACCAAACGAGCTCAATTACACAATCACAGCTCATTTACGTGTTTAAACAACCTTAATAACAATCAAAGAAGCTTAATTACACAATCATACTTAAATTGTTAATTGTGCCACTGAGGCACAGGAGCACAGAGAAAGTTTGACCAGTATAAGAGAGGTAACGTGACAGGTGGACGCTTTGTCTATCCATCTATCAACTATTCAACAAACATACTGGGATAGTCTAAGTGCCTGACAGTTACACCAGGTGTTACTCTCAGTGCGACTGTTTTATTTTGTTTCATATATTTTATAAAGGTCGTATCTTGGGAGACATTATTTTGTTTTTAATATCCATCTTTTATGACTATAATATTTTTTCTCCCACACCCACATAAATATTACCCTCTTCACACACACACATGTATTACTCTCTCCCACACCCACACAAATATTACCCCTCTCTTCACACCCACATGTATTACTCTCTCCCACACTCACACAAATATTACCCCTCTCTTCACACCCACATGTATTACTCTCTCCCACACTCACACAAATATTACCCCTCTCTTCACACCCACATGTATTACTCTCTCCCACACTCACACAAATATTACTCTCTATCCACACCCACATATATTACTCCCACATCCACCTGTACTTACCCTCTCCCCACAAACACACCTGTACAAGCCCTCTCCCACACCTGTACCATCCCTTCTTTCCCCACAGCTGTACAAATTTTATGTACAGTACGCAAGGATATTCAATATGCATGTCACACTTGAATAAATAATAAGAAGAAAAAGAAAATAATTGTTAATAATAATAATAATAATAATAATAATAATCTATAACTAAATATAAACAGTAGTAACAAATATAATTGTCATTATTTAGTAACAAATTTCAAATGCATCGCATTCATCTGCAAAATACAAATTGTTCAGTTTTACACACCTTGCACACAGCTGCGTCACAGGGGCGTCACAGGGGCGTCACAGGGGCGTCACAGGTGCGTCACAGCTGCGTCACGGGGGCGTCAGGCAATATA